CCACACGTAGCGAGACTTGAAGAAGAAGAGCTCTCCTCGAATGGTGGATGCGGCGTCGAATGCCGTGTCGCAGGCGTCGGGCTGCACAGACTGCCAAACACGGCCGGGTCAGGTGCTTGGACTCGCAGGAGCCCCCCTCGCCCAGGCTGGGTTCAGAGAATGGGCAGTCTCTGTGTCCAGGCAACTGTGGCTCTGCTTTCAGCCAGTTTTGGTGGGGCATGTGCTGCCCAAAGATCCCCTCCCCGCACATCCCAGCCTGGCAGTGCCAGTTTGGGGTCCAGACCTGGGCTCAGCAGCATGGGTGGAAGACACAGACACCAACCACGTGTAAACCTGCTGCTGGCCTGCAGCTGGGAACAAGCTGTGGTGTCAGAGGAGGACACGGACAGGCTGCTCACTCACCTCCACGTTGGTGATCTCATTTGTTTCAAGCTCTGGCTGGGGCAGCTCTGCTGGCTGAGTTGGGGTTGGGTCAGGATCCAGTTTGGGTTTCCCATAGAGGTACTGGATACCCTGCTTGTCATCCTCACTCAGGCTTAATGGGTAGCGGAAGATGTAGAAAGGAGACATCAGTGACTTGGAGACAGCCGTGTGCTGCAGGCCCAGGACGTGGCCAAACTCATGAGCAGCCACTTGGAGGAGGTCAGTGCCTGCAATGGGAAGAGATGGGAGATGCTTTTGCCCGATTGTGTGTGGTGGGCAAGCTGTGCCTGCAGAGAGGACACTTCCACCAGTTATCAGCCACTGACAGCGCACTGAGGTACGTTGTAGGAGCCCAATGTGTACAAGAGAAACCTTCCTGCGCTACAGTGCTTGCAGGTTGTTATTCCCAGACTTTTCCTGTGTAGCTCTACACCATGTTTGTGTGTTTTTTTAAGGAGACAAAAAGTATAATTAAGGGATCCACTGGTTCAGGAGCACAGTGAGTGAATTTGTACACTCAAGTATTGGTCTGGGCCTGTTGGTAATTTGTAATTCTGTCACCAGAGGCTCCTGTACCCCATTGGCTACCAGGAAGAAATGGGTTTTCCATGCGCTTTTGGAAAGGAGAAATTTGCACGGAGAAGGAAGTCTGGCCGACAGACTTAGGTGTGGGGTGGTAAGGTTGGGTTTTGTCCACCCAGCCTTGCAGCAGTTGTTGGCTACAGCTGTAGCATACCAGGTCCCATTTATATCATGTCCACTGTGGAAAATACCAGTGTCAGCGAGGGGATGCTCTGGGATTAAAACTTGCTAATGGCTGTTGTCACACAGACAGCAGAGGGAGCTCATTTATTGCTGTGTGTGGACTGTAGCAAGAAGGGGACATTTACAAATAAATCCGTAAAAAATTATCCAATGTCAAGGCCTGTGCCTTCTTCACCAGGCTCAAGGAGATTTATGGGACATCACGTTTTAGGAATATGTGACCTTGGAGTGTCTAGAAAGGGAGAGGGGGGAAAAGTGATTTCAGTATGCAAAAATGTGTCATTTGGCAGGTGTTTCATAGCTTCCAATGGATCTTTTTTGAAGTTGATAAATTTCGGGGAAAGCTGGAAGAGAGGCATATTAAGCTGTGAAGCTTCTGAGCGGGGCTGTTTGTTGACAAGTCCCAGCATATTCATTCACTCGCCTTCAGCCAGAAATCCTCCGAGCTGCAGCCCAAGCGCTGTGAGTCAGCCACCTCGCTGTCCCGAGCAGGATTTCCCTGCCAGCTCCAGGGGCACAGGTCACTTCTCAGCACCAGGACAGGACAGGACAGGGACGTCCAGCAGGGAGGAACGCCTGGGAAGGGTGGAGGGGAAGGCAAGTCCCCGTCTTCCTCCGCTACTGAGCTTTATGTTGAGGTGATTAATTTGCACAGCGCTGACCCCATTATATCAACACATCTAGGTCAGCTGAGAAAGTGGGGTTTCTATGTCAGTGATCTATTACAAACTTTCAGACACTTCTGTTTAGTTTGGCAGGCTCCCCACTTGACGCTTTCCAGTACTGGCAGATCGGCTGAGCTGCTGTCAGATTCCCCGGGGAAGGTGAACAAGAGCACGCCTGAAGGAGCCGCGCTGGGGAGCATCCCCGTGTCCCTCGCAGAAGGTCCTCCACGTGGAGTCCCGCTTCCTGCATGGCGCTGGGGTGACCCCAGGGCAAACCTTGGCCCTCCTTGTACTTCTGCTCTCTCAGCTGTAAAAGGAGGCTAAAGATTTCCACATCTCACTGAGAGCTGAGACAAGAATTTGTCCATGTTTATATCATAAAGCTCTTTTCAGCATATTAAATGGCAATTAGCTGCAAAGAGCTTTTACAACATTTATCTATGAAAGATGAAGGGGCTGGGGAATAGGGCTGGATTCTGATAGGAACTGGTGTCCATTTTCAGCTCCTGGTTTGCCTCCAGCACTGTGGGAGAACTGTAGGAAATTCTTCAGCAACACAGGCAGCCTCACCAAAGGGTGAAAATTGGCAGAGCCCACCCTTCCCTAAGGAGCAGAAAGATCTGGCACTCTGTGGTTCTTGTTTCGGGTCAGCATGAACAGGGTCAGAGAGGCAGCAGTCCTGTGCCCCACACAGAGACTCGAGTTGGCACAACTGGCAATGAAGTGGACTTCAGGGGAGCCCATCTGAGCCCTGAACATTGATGTGGACAAAATGCTTGGGAAACCCCAGAGGGGCAGAGGTTTCACTTGGGCTTTGTGGCTGTGTCTTTGTCCCTGTAGATAAACTGGGGAGGAGGAGAAGGGGCTGACCTGGGTTAATTTTGGTGAGTCTTGCAGAAACTGGTGCCTTGGGCACTGATCCAGATGGTCCCAGGCGGTGCTGCAGTATCTCATGAGACACTGTGACACCAGACCCTGAGTGCCCCAGCAGAGAGCTACCAGCTTGGATCTATTATTAGCCCAAACAAAAAAAAAAGAAAAGGAAAAGGAAAAGAGTCTTGACTTGATGTTGTGCTGTTTATGGTCAGAGCATTCCCAGGCCACAGGGGCAGAGCTGGAGCCAGGGTGGTTTCCCTTTATGGACTTGTTCAAAGAGAAAATACTTTGTGGGCAGGCGATGAACAGTGTGTGCAGGGGCTGGGGCTGAGGCTGTCCTTTCGAAGACAACTGTGTCACCCAGTGCTTGAGCCGCAGTTTTCCTTCGTCCCTTCCCTGCTTTATTTCTAGTGGCTCCTGCCAATGCTGGGTGCAGTTCCCAAGTGGCAGGCTGCATGGCAGGACAAAGGAGCCATCTCTTGGATGTGTCTCTCTTGCTCCCGCTGCACAGAGGGAGCCCACCAGGAAACCAGTCTCCTGGTGCTGGACACAGGCTTTGCTGTGGCTGAAAGATGACAAGAAACGACCTGCATACCATCTCCTGGCAGGAGACGACAATACACACCACAAAAACAATTGCTGCCTCTCAGTTTTACAGGGTCCCTGTTCACACCATGACTGAATCATTTCCAAGTGCCCTGATAAGCATCCTGGAGCATCCACAGCTCCCCCTAAAACAGTACCGTACCCAGGTTGTTCCCAATCGTCCAGGTCTCGTCATAGTCAAAGTGGACGTCTCCCTCCCGGTGTGTCTTGGGGAAGAACGCATGTGCCAGGATCCCTCCAGGCCCGTCGAAAGGCAAGTTATCTCCATGCCAGTACCTGGAGCAAAGACACACTGCACCTCAGACAAACAGCCTTGTACCTCCAGTGAGCAGCATTGTTGTGTGTACCTCCAGTGAGCAGCCAAAGGTGGGGAGCCACTGCGAGGGGATGGCAGCTCTCCCTCCCATCCCAAGTTCTTCCCACCAGTCCAGATCGACTGTTTTGGGCTCTGCGGATTGTCACAAACTCAGCTCTGCATTGGGGCATACCAAGCCCTGGGGAATTTGCGTGTTTTCTCAGGGATGTTTCTCTCCTCCCCCTATTCAGCTGCCAGCCCAAAGCTGACCATGGAGCCTAAAGAATTAAGGAGGTGACTGCTTGAGCCAAGATTAAGTTGACATAGCTGAGTGGTGGGGGGATGTGGAGGGGCAGCCAGCAGTGAACCCAGCCAAACCCTCAGGTCCTCACTCAAGCCAAGCCCGCTGTTGACAAGTGAAGGAAACCCGTGAGAGATGTGGCCACACAGATGAGCTGAGGGAGGCACAGGCAAATGCACAGCATGCAAATCACATCACTGCTTGGACGGTCTCCCCTGCTTTTATTAGTTTTGTGCAAACATGCAGCAGAGGGAACTCTTTGCCCCTGTGCGTATTTTGCCAAAAGTGAACTTTAGGCTGGGGGCCAAGACTCATTTAACCAAGAAACTGTATTTGTCTTTGGGAAGACAGTTACGTTGTTCAGTCAAGGGACAGGATGGAGGACCTGAAGGTGGAAAGTCAAAACAGATGCTTAGGAAAACAGCCTGTGGGCAGAAAAACGTAAATGTACCAGGACAATTAATGAATGATCAGCAACGGTGCTGTGCACAGCCAGCGTGGAGCAGCTGCACTCACACCAAGCAGCCCACAAATGAAAAAATGAAAAGAAAAAAGACAAAAAAATCCCAGTGTCTGAAAGCAGAAACATGAGCCTCCACTTAAGTGCCTAAGCTGTGTGCTGGCAGCTCTCTGCTCTGGTTAGAGGCTTGGGGGCTTGCCTGCACGGCTGCTGCTCTGTCTGGGACGGGGTGCAGCTCCCCGTGCTCACCTTGTGAAATCAATGACGATGTCAGCCCGGCCCTCCTGCACCTCAGTGAAGGTCAGCGGCGTCACGTCACTCCAGACTTTCAAAGCCTCCTCGATGGTCCTTCTCACCTTAGCTTTTACGAGTTGCCACGGGAACCTGATAATTCTGAAAGGCGACAGACGTGAAATGAGGAGATCATCAGCTGCTGCCCCATGGACACTGCTGTCATGAAGACACTCACTGTAGGATCAGTGTCACTAGGGCTGCCCCCCTTTCTCAGCACCAGAACCTCTACAATCCATAGAAGCACTGCTCCAGCACCCTCTTCCAAGCAACAAGTGCAGCAGATAAACCTCATCAGTGCTGAAACCCTCTGGGTGGTGGGCCCAGAGGTGAGCTCTCTGGAGAGCTTTGCAGATCTGTGTTTTTCTGAAGCGCTGCGGCCTTTCCTAGGTCTGTCCCACATGAGTCCACCCCCACAGAAGGGCCTGGAGTGGTGTGATGTGATTTCTCCTCAATCTCTGCATTTTTTGCCCCTGGAAGCCTGGGCTTGCTGAGAGCTGCTTCTCCTGCCCTCCTGTAACATACACAGACTGTAAGGTCTGCCACACAGGGAGCTTTCTTTCCCTTCCATTAACAGTGCTGGTGTGTGTTCATCTCCGCTGTGTTTCTTTAACACTGTTGACCAAAAAAAATTAAAATAAGTCTTTCTGTTACCTATAGTCTCCTAACACCATAAGGAACTGTCTGCTGCACTTAATTAAACAAAAGATGATTTACACGCTGTCAAGGTCCATACAAGCGTGCTCACCTCTCCACTCATGTCCCTGTGGACAACTGGGAAGGCAGCACAACCCTCCCACAGGCCTGTTGAGCAGCTTCACACATGAGAAGGTGTGGGGTGATTTGAGCAAAACTTTACACTGAAGTCGTGTTTATGGGAACATCAATAACAGCTGAATAACAAGGTCTTTTTAAAACAAACTGTGAGGTGAGCCCACAGCGGGGTGGCTGTGGGGGGCAAAGGCACAGCAGGAGGGGGCTGGTGGTGGAGGCTCGGCTCGGCACGTGTCAGGGGTCTGAATGTATGTGCATAGGGGTGTTGGTGTGGGACTGACCGAGGGGTGACGCAGCAGCTGTGGGATGTGTTTGGGCAGGGGTGGGTGGGCAGCTCGATTTATGGGAGTGTGTGCATGGGGGGATGTGGAGGTGCTGGGTATGACCCTGCTGGTGGTTCAGCATGTGGCACCCCTGCCCCCCAGCTGGGCCATACCCAGTTTTAGGGCTGCTCTATAGCTTTTACGATCACATCACAGTGTGCCAGGGAACATCAGACAGAGGTTTGGGGAGGGAGAAGCAAACCAGCCCTGACTCCCGTTTCGGGCCTCTCTTACTTGTAGGTGAGATCAGTCTTGTCCCAGCGACCGCCGGAGAGGACAAACCGCTTCTGCCTGTTCCGCCCGTTCTGGCTGTCCGGGAGCACCGGCAGGTCGGGCACGCCGCACCGGGGCGGATTCCAGCGAGCTGCCTGCTCCTCCGCGCCCACCGGGAAGCCCTTGGCGGGCACCCCCGTCCCCGCAGCATTCACCAAGGAAGACAGCCAAGGACTCTGCTCCTTCCAGGTGTGGTGCTTTCGAGACATGTCCTAAAAGGGAAAAGCAAAGCCACGACTTCAGTGTCTGGGAAGAAAGGTCCTGAAGCGGAGTGGTGGACAACTCCTCACAGCAGCCCTGCCCTGGTGAGTCCCATCTCTGCCTGGGGTTGTTCCCTCGCTGCTAGGGCACAGACTGCTCCCCACAAACACCCTCTGTTCCCTGGGCTCTGCTGCTGCCAGGCTGGGTCACACCTGGCAGGCACTGTGTCATGCCATGGCACCCCCTAAGCGCCGGGCTATTTTGGTTCTGCTTTTCCTTGGCAGCTGGCCGGCAGGAAATGTTTTTGCAAGCTGTGGATGAGAACCAGACCCTTCCAGAACGAAACAGATCACTAGGGAGTAAATTCTCCCCCTCTGTCCCACATCCTTTATTCCCTCCTGGCCCAGAGCAGAGGTGATATTAATGGCAGGACGCCTTTAGTCCCCAGCACACAGTTGTGCTCCCCGTTGTCGCTCCCATGGTGTCCCATTGCTTTCCTGGTGTGGTGAGCAGGCTCTCAGCATGGCTGGGGGACAATACAAGCTGGAGAGCAGTACACATGGATCTGGAGGGTGACTGAGCCGTGGGACAGAGAGCAGCAGCTCCTGTCACTGCCTGAGGTCACTGATGCCACAGAAGGAGGGACAGGACCAGACCCTCTTGTGCCTGTGACCCTGCTTGGGACTAAGGTCACCTGCGCTCTCCTGCACTTAGCTGGAAAAGCATGATCCCTCTTGACAACATTAATTAGTGCTAATTAGCTGACTGCCATTTGTTTCCCACCTGACAGCAGGACTATGAGGCCACCATGAAACACATCCCAAGTGTAATCCTCAACCTGCTGTGAGGCATGTGGGGTGAGAGGCGCTTGGTGCCCACATCACCACGCTGCACAAGCCAGGGGTCCAAACACATGATTTTTTTGCTTGATTCTGCACAGGCAAATTTAAAGGTGTTGAAGCAGCAGGAGGAGCTGAGATGCAGCAGTGACACATCTCTACTTGGACAGTCAAGCTCTGTCCCATAGAGTGAAGTCCTGGGGTTTAGAGGTCCCTTTCCTTCTTCTGCAAAGAGCAGCCTTCTCCCAGGCCAGCCCTCCTGGCTGCCCTGCCAGGGACACGAAGGTCAGGATGGCGTGATGCCAGCGCTGCCATGATGCTGTGTAATCCGCGTGCCGCTGCTGCTCTGCTACCTACAATGAGCCCATTCATGCGGGCTGGAATGAAGTGTGAAGCCCTTGGCATTAATTCCGCTACCGAGCTCCCGACTCTGTAGTAGCCCCGTGCCTCTGAGTGATGCACAGATGGACACAGGAGTCTGGCAGGTCACAGGAGGTGCAGTTCAGGTGTTTGGCTCTTTGTGAGTCTGTCACCACTCCAGCCTGCTGGCTTGCCCCCACACACTCTTGATGGCTTGATGCCTGCCAGCCTTTGCCTTAGAAACTATCGACCCAGCCCTGGTGTCCCAGTGCACTTTCACACACTTTGGGAACTGCAACATCCACACGTGCAAAGAGAGAAAGCCATTTTACATCCTAAACAGCAAAGTCTGCCTGAGCCATCAGCCGTGGCACTTAGAATCCACCCAGTGCATTGGTGGAAGGAGGGTGTACAGGCTGTCCCCGAGGAGTCTGCACCTGACTGCTGGAGCCCTGTGGGTTGGAGGGACCTGTGTCTCTACGAGGAGCTCTCCAAGAGCTGCCTGGAACCCTGCCTGGGCTGGGAACCAGGCCTGTGAAGGACAGCTGACAGGAGGAGCTGATAAGGTTCATGTCCTGGACAATGTCTTGCTCCCAGCCCCAGTGAGACCCTTGGCCAAGCACATAAAGGCAGCTGCGTCACCAAAGCCCAGCCTGGAGAGAGAGCTGCTCGGCTCCTTGCTCCTGAGTGTGCTCAAGGGCATCCACTGCCCCTGGAGGCATGTCCTGCTGCCAGAGGACCACAGCCACATCAAGGCACATGAGAAGTGGAGATGGACCCTGGGGAGAGCCCTCGTTATGGAACTGGGAGCACTGGGAAACCCTCAGCAGTTGCCCGGGTAGGTGAGTGCGTTGCAGCTGACCAGATAGGCTTAGTCCTGTTTTTTGTTTTGGCTATGCTAAGCACATTCCTCCATCTCCCAGGAAAGTTGGTTGTTGCCTTCCTGGCTGGGGGCACTGGTGTAAACTGGAGATTATCACCCTTCTCTGAGCACAGACAGGGAACTGACTGTTCCCTTCTCACCCTAAGAAATCCCATGTTCAGGAGCAGACCAGAGGTAGGTTTTGTCTCTCCCCTTTGGTTAACTCAAGGCCACTGGCATGAATCTCAGCTTCCAGCCATCCAAACCCCACCTTGCCTTAGGCAGGACCCTTCCTGCTCCTGCCTGCCTGCCCTCTGCAGAGACCCAGCCCTGGGAAGGGACACAGCATGGCCCTGGGAACAGCTCTGGGTGGAAGCAGGAGGCAAGACCTGCCCTGCTGCCCCGTGTGCTCGCTGTGCCCCTAGACAAACAGCGAGTCTCTCCCTGTCGTCACTGCACCGACATTAGCACCATGGCAGGAAAGAGCTGGAAAATGCTACTGCAGGCGCAGCCGGCAAGGGGAAATGTGACAGTCAGAAACCACTTGCCAAACAATGCTCAGGAGACGCGTCAGGCTGGAGATTTTGGTCTCCTTGGCTGGACACACCTCACTGCAGGCACTGCCCAAGGCTTAGATAACGTGTCCTCTTGCTTAAGGTTGCATCCTTCCCACCCAGCGCTGAAGCCACCCTCTCTTGGGGAGATCCTTGCTTTGTTCTCCGAGCTGTGGTGTAATGCCCCAGGTGTATGCCCAGGGGCTTGCTTAGGGCTGTGCTGCTGCTGAAGCTGGTGCAAACCTGTCGAGAGAGGATGAGGAGGGCACTGGCTGCTGGGTAACGATCAAGGCATCCCCATTCCTCCCATCCCACCACCGCAGGGGAAAGGATCACCAAAGACCAAAAGCAAAGTCCCTGCAACCTAGAGCAGGTGTTCAGACCAGCTGAGAGCAGAGCCGCATCCAAGCCCCTGTCTAAGGCTGTGTGCAGCCACTTGCACTACCCTTCCCAGTACAATCCAGCTGGGAAGGCTGCTGTACATGGGAACAGAGAGTTTTTAGCCATGGAAAGAGGCCAGGGCTTTGCAATAGAGACTGAGCAGCAAAATGTCTGCACACCAGGAGCATCGAGGGGCTGCCAGGCCTGGAACCAAGGGCTGAGGGCAGTGAGGAGAGCAGAAGGACAAAGCTCTACACAGAGGGCTGTGCTGCAGGCTGGCCCCAGCTCCTCGCAATGCAAGTGCCTCTTCCTGGCAGCCCTGTGACTGAAAGGCTGGGAGGGAGCAAGAGGGAAAGGACAGATTCCGTGGGAGAGCAGAAACCACAGTGGAGGTACAGGCTGCCCACTCAGTTCCTCACAGCTTTTATCAGCCCTCAAGTGCTGCAACACAACAGCCACCACTTCTGGGGCTGCTGGGGCCAGATGAACACCAGCCAAGCTTCCCAGGAAGTGTCCCAGCCATCCCAAGGAGTCGGGAGCATCTTTAACCTCATTGTGTCGTGCAGCACTCACCCTCCAGAGCCTCCGGGGCCAGGGGGGAAGAAGCAGCCAAAGTAGCACACGTCGGTGGAGTAACAGCCATGCTGCGTATAAAACCCTCAAGAGACTGAGGTGCCTGGTACTGACAAATGCAGTGCTCTCTGCCCAGGTCCATCCTCTGCTGCCTGCCCTGAACTTAAACTTGTCTCCTCTGTCATGTACCTAATTAGCTGGGCGCCTGCCTGTTCCTGCAGCATGGACATGAAAGGAGACCCCCTCCTGACAGACGGGAGTGACTGGACAAGTTACAACGCGAATCCCATCAGTTGTGGATACTTCCCCTGTCACTGGGGGCTGTTTCCTCTTCTGTTAGGGTTTTCTCTCCACCTCCCTGTCCCTTCTAATGCTACTTTCCCATTTCTCTCCTCCTGTTACTCAGTGTTTGGCGAGGCCCTGGTGTTTGCTGTCTTTTTGGCTAGTAGCATTATCCTTCTCCCACCTATGAGCCTGCACCTCAGAGCACTCCTGCCCTGAGTTCAAGGCATGGGGAAGGAGAGCAGAGATGCTTCCTCCTGCAGTTCTCATGCAAGACCATTCTCTCACCCCATTTCTGTTCACTGTCGGTGGCTGTGGCCCTCCTGGGGGCTCTGCACCTCCTTAGCAGGCTGCAGCAGTGTTCCTGCGTGAGATCACCGCTGCTGTCCTGACCTACAGAGTACTATGGATGGCTTTTTGGGCAGCTTGGATCCCAAGCGTGGATTTGCAGGGGCTGGATTTGAAAGTGGAGCCTTGTATCAGGTTGTGTCCCAGAAGCTGACTGGCCTTGGAAGGTGCTGATGCCGCAGCTGAAATTTCATGGCAGCAGCAGATGATGTTTATGGTCTGGTCAGGCCCTGAGCTAAGTGTGCTCCCAGTCAAGGCTCTGTTAGTGGAAACAAAGCCTGGGCAAAGCCCCCAGGTTTACTGATCCCACATCTCCCAGAAGAAGCAGAGTCTCCCAACCCCTCCAACTATGAAGTCTTTGCTTACACAAAATATTTCTGCTACAAGATTGGCTCCTTCCTGCTGGTCTGCAGCCTGGTTCCACTGCAGACAGAGCCAGGGGAAATGCAAGGTCTGAGGCCAAACTTTGGCCAAACAGGAGGAGCTGCAGTGCCTGGCCATGCAAACACAGTTGGAGGTTCCTCTCCGCTCACTTCTCATACTCTGTGGCACCATCAAGCGCTACCTCCTGGGGCCTGACAGTTTGTTTCCGGATTATTTGGTAGTAGTTGTTGTTGGCAACGAAAAAATGAAAATGTTTATTTTTCCTAAGCAACGTGGAACTTGAAACATTATGGACTGCAAATGTTTATGCCCACAGACAGAATGAGGAGACCCAGGCCCTGATGAAACAAGAGAAAGCATATGAATAAACACTGCGGGACTATTTTTATTATCAGACACTTTAATTACGTGACAGTTTGTGAGTC